TACAGAAGAGATAAGGATGAACTTATTTGTTGCAAATCACTGAGGAAATCAAGGCTGATCTGGCCGGCATATCATAAAACTGGAGGCTAAAGAATGTAACCTCATTGATCTTTTTCATAAATGAGGTGGGGAGGGAAAGAGTTCTGAAGCTTCAACTAAGATATTTCCAACTCCTCTTCCTTTTAATCTTCAAGTATTTACACTTGTGCACACTTCAGAGTAACCGGCTTTAAAGTTCTGGTACCAAGCTGAGAGTCTGTATTCTGCTATGTACGAGGCCCCATTGCATGGGAGATAGCAAATAAACTTAACAATAACCTTTCCACACACATGCCAACAAGAAACACTAACATTACAGGCTTTACAAATACCGGTTCCAAACTCTAACAAAACTGATCTAGAATTTTCAAAGTTTGTGTCCCAATTCTCAAAGCATACTTACGGAAATCGTGGGCATACTGGAGAGGAGCATTCTCTTTGTGGAACTCTTTCTCCATTGCATTTAGGAGCATGAGGATTTGAATAGTTATGGATTACTTGCTGGGAAGGATGCATGACTCTCATGCAAGGTCCAGGAACAGAAGGCAGTGGTTGCGAGGGTTGTGCAAAATGTTGGAAGGCAGTCCTACCATCTAAGAAATTAATAAAATAAACACAAGGATCTCATCAATTTACTTTTGACTAACTGGAAGTTTCCATATTTCAAACACAAATCTACTTCATTTCTAGGAAAGCTCTAGCAGCTTGTAGGTTATATAGTGTGATCAGTAGCAGGTTTAAGAAACATTTTACAGAACAAAGTTCCATGCTTGAACAAACAATGGGGTTCTGCTTTCCACAATGGGTTGGAATGTTGGGAAGATTGACAGGTAAATAGTGAGAGCTGGTCTTCATCCATATTTAACATGCCTGACTTTTTTGGGCTCTAACCTGAGAAAATGAATCATCTCAACAGGTTCATGAAAGCAGAAGAAAAATCCTGGAACAAATCAGTTTGCAACACTAAGGCTAAACAGACTGAAATTATTGTAAAGGAAAAGAGAAAAATTATCTTTCATTTTGTTACTTCATTCTGAATGAATTTGCTGTCTGTCTAACAGTAACCTCTTAAGGCCTTGAGGCTGGTTCTATTACTATCTTAAAGGAAGGTAATGTGACAATCCTTGCTCAAATAACTTCTTTGCAAAAATGCTATTGGTTTTTTGATGTGCACATCATAGTATCTATTAATTATTAATTTTTATTATTATTTGTATTACCATAACACCTAGTCATGGAGCAGGAGCCCATTGTGCTAGGTGCTGTACAAAGACAAAACAAAAAGATGGTTCCTGCCTCACAGAGCTTACCATTTAAATTTAAGACAAAAGACAATGGGTGGATGCAGACACAAGGGGGAGTACAAGGAGACAATATTTCTGATAGGTTACTGTTCACTGAGAACACAGCCTAACTGTTCTCAAGGTTTTGTGGGCCCCACAGAACAGGAGAGGTTTTAATGAGGGATTTGAAGGAGGATGGTAAGTTAATTCCATAAACATCTGCAAAATTATTGCCTTCGAACACATTACATGGTGCAGCTGTACAAGCAGTAGATCACAGCAAGAGTAGGGGCTCAGATGAAGGGTCTCATTAGAAAGTGCTGGTATCCAACCTTAATTGGAGGTGATCTACACAGCCACCCAAGTTTTCATTTTTCAGTTGTAACATTAAGACTTTAAATTTTATTTTTATTGTATTTTGGGGTCTCAAAACTTTTCTGTTCACTTTCTGTGCCGGGGCTGAATGTCAATCAGCAGATCAAGGCACAGCAAAGCAGCACCCAGGCAGCTGATAGCAAAGGCAATGAATGCCAGGACACTGCACTACTGTGTGTCATTCCAGAGTCTTTCCTCTTCAAGGGTTAGGTATAGCTGGGCAGAGGGGACCACAGACGTAACTGGAGTGGGGAAACTGAACTGAGGCTGTACATTTGAAGAGCTGTGTTGTTGCTGATAAACAGGAAGTAACTTCTAATGAGCTACAAGAGGAACAGATGGGGAAAGAGACTTTCCCTTCAGCATCCCACGTCAGGTTCATTGCCAGGAATGGCTCCCTGCCCCAGTGGTGGCACTGGCAGCCACATGCCCTCACCCAACTCATCTCTAGACCTTCACCTGTGTAATGGCTGTTTTGGTATATACAAAGTATAGTTTAGGCATAAGCAGAAATAGAAAGCAGTGGAAGCAACTTGTATCACAGGCTGGGGAAACGGAGTCCATTGCTTTGGTCTCTCTGTGGACTCCCTAAGATGGCACTGCATCAGTTGCCAGTCAGGAGGCAATTATCAGGACTGGAAAATTATTTTTTTACAAAATGAAAGCTTAAATTATGCAGAAGCAGATGGGACAAGAGTGAAGTGCTAGACATGTTGCCAACTCTTGCTATTTTATCATGAGTCTTGTGATATTTGGTGGTTTTTTAAAAACCCTGATATCCTGGAGACATATTATAACATGACAATCTCAGTTTTCATCTAAAAAATTAAGTTTCTAGCCATTGTGCTCACAGAGAAAATGTGACCCAAAAGACTCAATCATCAGAGGCAAATAAAAAGAACCCAATATTTACTATATTTTAAAATCTTGTGATTTTTAATCCAAACTCATGATTTTGAAGTGTTTGGGGTGGGCAATACTACGCTAGTAGGTCATATTAGCTCAGACTGACAATTGGGCCCTTGTTTGAATCATATTTGGAGTTCTATGGGGGATTTGTTTATAAATCCACAAGTAATTTGTGTGTTTACTAATAAAAGTACTTGATATTCTTCACATTAGTTCTCTTTTTATTTACATTTGTTTACTTTAGAACTACATGCTATTTAGAGTCACTATTTCAGTGTCGTAAAGCTAAATACTCTCTATTTTTTCAGCAACTAAATAATGAATGCTCTTATTGCCTCTCATTATGATAAACTCAAGGTAACTTCCTTCCATAGTAAAATGTTAACAGAAACAAAAAACATGGTTATAGACAATTGCCATTTATGGTATTGCCTATTCCAGATGTTAAAAAAGCCAAGGCCCGAAAAATCATGAGATGGGCTTAAAAACAGTGACATTTTTAGACAATCATTTTCTTTGCCTTCTGGGATTTGAGCCTTTAGAGTACAATGGAATCATGTTTTCAAGCTTTTCTTGTCAGCCATGAGGGCTAGAGACTTAAAAAAAAAATCAGTTATTGTAAGTCTGCTGATAAAATTATGAATTGGCAACATTCTATTTATTTGTACCACTGTGGGTCGTCCGTCTGTCCCCCGTCCCCCCCGCCGCCACCCTATTAGCTGTGTCACTGCTAGGCATGGTTTGAAAAAGCTCAGAGGGAATGCAAAATGAAAGTAAACATGTTTTGGGGGATGTTGCTTGTAGTCGGCTCGAGGGGGACAGGCACTGCTATGTGACGGACTGGGTTGGCTTAAAGGATTTTAAGGATATGTCTACACTACGAAATTAAGTCGAATTTATAGAAGTCGGTTTTTTAGAAATCGGTTTTATATATTCGAGTGTGTGTGTCCCCACAGAAAATGCTCTAAAGTGCATTAAGTGCATTAACTCGGCGGAGCGCTTCCACAGTACCGAGGCAAGCGTCGACTTCCGGAGCGTTGCACTGTGGGTAGCTATCCCACAGTTCCCGCAGTCTCCGCTGCCCATTGGAATTCTGGGTTGAGATCCCAATGCCTGATGGGGCTAAAACATTGTCGCGGGTGGTTCTGGGTACATATCGTCAGCCCCCCGTTCCCTCCCTCCCCCCCCCCCCGTGAAAGCAAGGGCAGACAATCATTTCGCGCCTTTTTTCCTGAGTTACCTGTGCAGACGCCATACCACGGCAAGCATGGAGCCCGCTCAGCTCACTTTGGCAATTAGGAGCACATTAACCACCACACGCATTATTCAGCAGTGTATGCAGCACCAGAACATGGCAACGCGATACCGGGCGAGGAGGCGACGTCAGCGCGGTCCCGTGAGTGATCAGGACATGGACACAGATTTCTCTGAAAGCATGGGCCCTGCCAATGCATGCATCATGGTGCTAATGGGGCAGGTTCATGCTGTGGAACGCCGATTCTGCGCTCGGGAAACAAGCACAGACTGGTGGGACCGCATAGTGTTGCAGGTCTGGGACGATTCCCAGTGGCTGCGAAACTTTCGCATGCGTAGGGGCACTTTCATGGAACTTTGTGACTTGCTTTCCCCTGCCCTGAAGCGCATGAATACCAAGATGAGAGCAGCCCTCACAGTTGAGAAGCGAGTGGCGATAGCCCTGTGGAAGCTTGCAACGCCAGACAGCTACCGGTCAGTTGGGAATCAATTTGGAGTGGGCAAATCTACTGTGGGGGCTGCTGTGATGCAAGTAGCCCACGCAATCAAAGATCTGCTGATATCAAGGGTAGTGACCCTGGGAAATGTGCAGGTCATAGTGGATGGCTTTGCTGCAATGGGATTCCCTAACTGTGGTGGGGCTATAGACGGAACCCATATCCCTATCTTGGCACCGGAGCACCAAGCCGCCGAGTACATAAACCGCAAGGGGTACTTTTCGATAGTGCTGCAAGCTCTGGTGGATCACAAGGGACGTTTCACCAACATCAACGTGGGATGGCCGGGAAAGGTGCATGATGCTCGCATCTTCAGGAACTCTGGTCTGTTTCAAAAGCTGCAGGAAGGGACTTTATTCCCAGACCAGAAAATAACTGTTGGGGATGTTGAAATGCCTATATGTATCCTTGGGGACCCAGCCTACCCCTTAATGCCATGGCTCATGAAGCCATACACAGGCAGCCTGGACAGTAGTCAGGAGCTGTTCGACTACAGGCTGAGCAAGTGCAGAATGGTGGTAGAATGTGCATTTGGACATTTAAAGGCGCGCTGGCGCAGTTTACTGACTCGCTTAGACCTCAGCGAAACCAATATTCCCACTGTTATTACTGCTTGCTGTGTGCTCCACAATATCTGTGAGAGTAAGGGGGAGACGTTTATGGCGGGGTGGGAGGTTGAGGCAAATCGCCTAGCTGCTGGTTACGCGCAGCCAGACACCAGGGCGGTTAGAAGAGCACAGGAGGGCGCGGTACGCATCAGAGAAGCTTTGAAAACCAGTTTCATGACTGGCCAGGCTACGGTGTGAAAGTTCTGTTTGTTTCTCCTTGATGAACCCCCCCGCCCCTTGGTTCACTCTACTTCCCTGTAAGCTAACCACCCTCCCCTCCTCCCTTTAATCATTGCTTGCAGAGCCAATAAAGTCATTGCTGCTTCACAGTCATGCATTCGTTATTCATTCATCACACAAATAGGGGGATGACTACCAAGGTATCCCAGGAGGGGTGGTGGAGGAGGGAAGGAAAATGCCACACAGCACTTTAAGCACAGCACTTTAAAAGTTTACAACTTTAAAATTTATTGAATGACAGCCTTCTTTTTTTTGGGCAATCCTCTGTGGTGGAGTGGCTGGTTGGCGGAGGCCCCCCCACCGCGTTCTTGGGCATCTGGGTGTGGAGGCTATGGAACTTGGGGAGGAGGGCGGTTGGTTACAGAGGGGCTGCAGTGGCAGTCTGTGCTCCAGCTGCCTTTGCTGCAGCTCAACCATACACTGGAGCATACTGGTTTGGTCCTCCAGCAGCCTCAGCATTGAATCCTGCCTCCTCTCATCACGCTGCCGCCACCTTTGAGCTTCAGCCCTGTCTTCAGCCCACCACTTACTCTCTTCAGCCCTCCACCTCTCCTCCTGGTCATTTTGTGCTTTCCTGCACTCTGACATTATTTGCCTCCACGCATTTGTCTGTGCTCTGTCAGTGTAGGAGGACAGCATGAGCTCGGAGAACATTTCATCGCGAGTGCGTTTTTTTTTCTTTCTAAGCTTCACTAGCCTCTGGGAAGGAGAAGATCCTGTGATCATTGAAACACATGCAGCTGGTGGAGAAAAAAAAAGGGACAGCGGTATTTAAAAAGACACATTTTATAAAACAGTGGCTACAGTCTTTCAGGGTAAACCTTGCTGTTAACATTACATACATAGCACATGTGCTTTTGTTACAAGGTCGCATTTTGCCTCCTCCCACCGCGTGAACGGATTTTGGTTGAATGCCAGCAAACATACACTGCAATGCTTTGTTCTACAGTGATTCCCGAGTACGTGTTACTGGCCTGGAGTGGTAAAGTGTCCTACCATGAAGGACGAAATAAGGCTGCCCTCCCCAGAAACCTTTTGCAAAGGCAGAACCGCAAATGCCAGGGCAAAGTAATCCTTTCACATGCTTGCTTTTAAACCATGTATAGCATTTTAAAAGGTACACTCACCAGAGGTCCCTTCTCCGCCTGCTGAGTCCAGGAGGCAGCCTTGGGTGGGTTCGGGGGGTACTGGCTCCAGGTCTAGGGTGAGAAACAGTTCCTGGCTGTCGGGAAAACCGTTTTCTCCGCTTGCTTGCTGTGAGCTATCTACAACCTCCTCATCATCATCTTCTTCGTCCCCAAAACCTACTTCCGTATTGCCTCCATCTCCATTGAAGGAGTCAAACAACACGGCTGGGGTAGTGGTGGCTGAACCCCCTAAAATGGCATGCAGCTCATCATAGAAGCGGCATGTTTGGGGCTCTGACCCAGAGCGGCTGTTCGCCTCTCTGGTTTTCTGGTAGGCTTGCCTCAGCTCCTTCAGTTTCACGCGGCACTGCTTCGGGTCCCTGTTATGGCCTCTGTCCTTCATGCCCTGGGAGATTTTCAGAAAGGTTTTGGCATTTCGAAAACTGGAACGGAGTTCTGATAGCACGGATTCCTCTCCCCAAACAGCGATCAGATCCCGTACCTCCCGTTCGGTCCATGCTGGAGCTCTTTTGCGATTCTGGGACTCCATCATGGTCACCTGTGCTGATGAGCTCTGCATGGTCACCTGCAGCTTGCCACGCTGGCCAAACAGGAAATGAGATTCAAAAGTTCGCGGTTCTTTTCCTGTCTACCTGGCCAGTGCATCTGAGTTGAGAGTGCTGTCCAGAGCGGTCATAATGGAGCACTCTGGGATAGCTCCCGGAGGCCAATACCATCGAATTGTGTCCACAGTACCCCAAATTCGAGCCGGCAACATCGATTTAAGCACTAATCCACTTGTCAGGGGTGGAGTAAGGAAATCGATTTTAAGAGCCCTTTAAGTCGAAATAAAGGGCTTCATTGTGTGGACGGGTGCAGGTTTAAATCGATTTAACGCTGCTAAATTCGACCTAAAGTCCTAGTGTAGACCAGGGCTAAGACAACACAGTCTCACCTCTTTCATTTGGATATTCCTGATGCTATAATAAATGGGTATTACTTACCTGTAACTGGAGGTTCTTTGAGGGATGTGGTCCCTATCTTGATATTCCACATGTGGGACATGCATGTACCTGCATCCAGATTTTTTTATTTTCAAGCAGTGTCCTTTGGCCTTTATGTGTGCCATTGCTCTCCTTGTGCTCTGAACTGAGGGCATAAAAGATAGTGAGGGCTAATGCCGCTCCAGTTTCTTATTCTTACCTCAGTTAAAACAGTCCGCAGCAGAGAGCAGGTAGTGGAGTATAGCTAGGGAGCACACATCTCGAAGAATCTCCAGTTACAGGCTAAGTAACCTCTATTTCTTCTTCAAGTGATTGTCCCTATGTGTATTCCACACGTGGGAGATTAACAAACAGTAGTCAGACTGCAAGTTGGTGCAAGGATGCAGAAGTGATAACTAAATGAAGTACTGCTGTCCCCACAGCTGTATCCACAGTTGACAACTGGATCAGAGCTTAATGTCTCATAGAGGCATGAAGAGAGTTCCAAATAGCTGCTCTACATATCTCTAGGAGAGGTACATCTCTCAGTTATGAGGCCGAAGTAGCTTACTCTCTAGTGGAATGAACCTTCATCCCCTCTGGAGGGGGAATATGAGCTAGTTGGTAACTGTGACTCAATGCATCCCTTTATTCACACTCTGCATACGATTGTAATAATCTTTGTATAAAATATGCCATGTGAAGTATCATTTGAAAACTAACAACTCAGTGGTCAATAATATCATGGTGAAATGTGTGTAGCAATGTTATATGTGAACTTATGAACACAAGCTAAAATTATGACTGAGATGTGTTTATCAGACAAGTTTGGGGAGGGGGTAAACCTGTTTTTCAGAGACAAAGGACAAGCTAATGCCTCTAGCCAGGTGTCCTCATAGCTGATTGGCAATCACTGGTCAAGTGGCCATTCTATGGCAGCGAAGGGGGGCAGCGACAGATCAACCTGCATTTTAGCAAGCAACCCTGTGGAACTTCTTTCACCACAAGAATCCATGTCTCCATACTCTCGGCGGGAAGGAAATTTATCTAGGGGTAACCCTCAGGAAAATGCATTTCAAAGGGTGACTGGACTATAAAAGCTAGAGACAAAAACACCCCAGAAATTCTTTCTTTCTCTCCCTATCTCTCTTTCACCTAAAATGACAAAGGAACCAGCCTTTGGACTTTGGGAGGGGTTCTGATCTGAGAATTTGGTCAGCCCTGTTGCTGGGAGTATGTGATAAGGATTTTACCTTGAACCAAATCTGGTTTGTTATATTTTAGTCACTACAAAGTGTTTTATCTTTATTTCTCTTGTAACCATTTCTGACTTGTACTTGTACTCACTTAAAATCTCTCTCTTTGTAGTTAGATTTACTTGTTTTATTCTTTAAACGCAGCATTGGATTAGTTTTGACTAAACTGAATTGTTTAGGTAACTCCAATTAAAGTAGCAAACTGTTGTATATTGACCCCTTACAGGAGCAACAGAACTTTAATATCTGCACTGTCCAGTAGAGGGCTGGACAGTACAGAACATATGTTTTGGGGAAATGTTGGGACTGGCTGTGTGTTGGGGTCATCCTGCAGTAGTAACCAAGGCTCCTGGAAGCCAGAGAGTGGCTGATGTGTTGTTGATAGGGCACTGGGGTCAGAGCTTCTGGGCCAGGGCTGTAGCTATACACAGACATTGAAGGCATGATCTGCATGCAGTTTGCCTGTTTGTGAGTGGCCCACTTGGAAGTTACAACAGCAAAGCATTGTGAGGCACCAAAGCTGCAGGGCAAGTGGTGACGACCCCTCACTGGTCTGGATTGCACCCTGGAATGTGACAGTATCAAAGGGTAATACAACCAAAGATCCATTCTGAAATTCTCTGCGTCAATACAGCTTGACCCCGGACCTCTGCTATGGAAACAAATAGCTTAGGGGTATCTCTTAACGTTACTTGCAGATAAAAGGTCAAAGCCCTTCAGATGTCTAGGGAATGCAACCATCTCTCTTCATCTGAGGTATGAAGTTTTGGGGAAAAAAAACCTGGTAAATGGATTACCTGACTTATATAAAACTCAGAAACTAATTTAGGAATGAATCTAAGGTGTGGTCATAACGAGACCTTTTCTTTACAGAAGGTAGCATATGGTGAGTCTGACTCTTCTGGCTGACATTACGGCTAGTAGAAATGCCCCTTTCACAGACAGATGCATGTGGCTGGAGGCTCAAAAGGGGGATTGGTGAGTGACAATAAAATTGGTGAGGTACGAACTTCACCAATGGTGGCAAGGATCTGAGAATCCCCATCAGAAATCTAGTTGAAACAGGATGAGTAAATATTGCATACAATAAGAACTGATCGCTGCTAAATGCACTCGCAGGGAACTGAGCATGAGACCCAAAGACTCAAGGGTAAATAGATGCTCTAAGATAGCAGGGATAACAGCAGATTCTGGAGACAAGCTGCGCTGGTGAGCCCAAGAGGAAAGAAACTTCCATTTTGCTAAGTAACGGCATCTTGTAGAGTCTTTTCTACCTGGGTTAAGCATGGATTGCACCCTTTTAGAATGAGTGATCTCTTTCTGATGCCCAATCAAGTACCAGGCCCTGAGGTGCAGCAGTCCCAGATTGGGGCGGTGAATCTGCCCTTGTGCTGCGTTAGAAGATGCGGCAATGTGGGGATGTTCATGGGTGGGTGAACTGAGGGCTTCAGCGGATCTGTAAACCAGAACTGTGTCAGCCAGTTGGGTGCAATCAGAGGAACTCAAGATCTGTTTTGGTGGATCTTGCGTAGAACTTGCGATACCAATGGGGTGGGAAGGAAGGCATATACCAGGTGATTCTTCCATAACACCGGAGGGTATCTCCCATCAAGCCCTTGCCCAGGGCTGCTCTGAATAGTACTAAGGAAGTTTCCTGTTCTCCCACGAGGCAAAAAGGTCCCAGGCTGCCATTTCCCATTGGGCAAGACATCACTGAGAACTGAATTATGACTTCCATTTGTGATTTGCAGAAATATGTCTGCTCAGGCAGTCCACTAGGGCTGTGGCTCTCAACCTTTCCAGAATACTGTACCCTTTCAGGAGTCTAATTTGTTTTGCATACCCCAAGTTTCACCCCACTTAAAAACTATTTGCTTACAAAATCAGACATAAAAATACAGAAGTGTCACAGCCCACTATTACTGGGAAATTGCTGACTCAAGTATATTTGAGCCTGTCTTTCACTCATGAGCCTTGTCTGAAGCCCAAACCCAGGCAGCGGGGCTGAAGCATGTAACTTAGCCTCACTGAGCTCCCTGTGGTGTGTTACCCTGGGCAATTGCCCTGCTTGCCACTCCTTAATGCTGGAATTTGGACACTCCCTAAACCCATCCCTCGACCCCCCTGCAACTCCCAGGTTGAGAAACACTGTCTAAATGAGTTGAGTACCCCGGAAGATCTCTGAGTACCCCAGGGGTACATGTACCCCTGGTTGAGAACCACTGCACTAGGAAGTTTTGCACCCCTAGTAAATATGCTGCTGATATGGTTATGCCATGGCTGATGCACCAGTTCCAGAGGGTGATTGCCTCTATGCACCATGGGAGAGATCTCATTCCTCCATGCTTGTTTGTATAAAATACCATTGTCACCTTGTCTGACCTTCTTTGGACATCGGGATCGGATGAGTGGGACAAAGATGTCACAGGCTCAACAGACCATCTGGAGTTCTAGTAAATTGATATGCATTCTGGACTCCTGTAGGGGCCAGATGTCTTGTACCATAGGCTCACCCATGTGAGAATCCCAGCCCAAGGAGGAGGTGTAAGTAACAATAGTTGCGTCGGGAGTTAGTGTCCCCGTCTGAACTATCTCTGGTTTTTTCCACTAGACAAGAGTGTCTAAAACTTTGGGTGGAAGTGTCACTTTGCCGTTTATGTTGTCCTTCTCTGGTGAGTATATGAGAGAAGTCATGCTTGTAGGCAGCAAAGATGAAGCCTGGTGAACATGTGTGGATGAGACCACATGGCCAAGGAGGAAAAGGCAAGTTCTGCCTGAAATCCTGGGTCTGATAGTGACCTGATGTATGGAATGGTGCATAGCCTGAACCCTTTGAGAGATAGATAAGCTCTTGGTGTAGTTGAGTCTAATGTTATCCCATAAAGTTTCTGAATCTCGTGGGGGGTCAATGTGGATTTTTTGTGATTGACACAGACAGCCAGAGAAGGCAGAAGGCTGAGTATAACACTGGTTGCCACTGGTTTTCCTCATCAGAAGTCAGTCATCGAGGCAAGGCAAGACTGTATATTCCTCTCTTCTCATCCACTACTGAAAAAAACTTTGTAAAGATCCTGGGAGCTATAGTTAGACCAAAGAGGGGGACTCTGAATTGGTAGTGCTCTTCATCGGAGAGGAGCCTGAGGAACCTCCTATCGGCTAGATGGATGTCTGTGTGAAAATATGCATCTTTCCTATCGAGATCCATGACACAGATGTCCTTTTCTAATGAGGGAATTATTGGTGCCAAGGATATTGTGTGTAATTTTAGTTTTCAAATGAGCCCATTCAGACTACTTCCAATTGAGAATCGGCCTCCATCTCCAATTCTTCTTGGGGATCAAGAAGCAAGGGGAATAGAATCCCTTCCCTTGATGTTGAGCTGGAACCTTTTCTATGGCTCCCTTGAAGAGAAGGGAGTTCTAGAATAGAATATTCTCATGAAAGTGGTCCCTGAACAGGAACTGGGAAGGGGGTTTGTATGTATGAGGTACCAGAAACTCGATTAGATAGCCACCACAAATAGTTTCTAATACCTATTTGTTTGAGGTTAGGGCTCTCCAGTTTTTGGCAAGTTGGGTAAAGGTGGCCTCCAAATACCAGAGGAGGGGAATGAAGTGGTATCAAAAAAGGGACTTGGGTCTCGACAGTCCCATCAAAAGAAGCTCTTCGCTTGGTGGTTAGAGTATGATGTGGCAGTGGATGTTGCAGAGGCTGGGTTCTTGGGTCTATAGACCTTCTGTCTTTTGTGTGGTGGCTCCTGAGGACAGATCTGGGATGGTACTCTGCAGTTCTCTAGGGAAATCTGGGGATTGTAACCACAAGTCTCTCCTCATAACAATGGCCATTATCAGAGGGAGTAGCCTTTGGGTGCTGTTGTTTGGACTGCTCTATAGGAACCTGCACCACCACAGAGTTAAGTGGTAGGTCAGAGGACAAAAACTCTCCCTCTTTGGGTGGAACAAGGTAATACTTCTTAGCCCTCTTAGGGGCGGGAGCACAAGAAGCAGGAGTGTGCCAAACTACTTTTACCTTGGATGACCTTGTTGATGGGGAGGACAACTTGACTGGCTGCAGAATGTTGAGTAAACTGAGCTGAGGCTCCTGGACTTCCTCCAGCTGAATCTGTAGCTCAGGACCCACTCTGTGCATGAGCTCGTGGTATTGTTTAAAGTTGTCTGGAGAAGATGGAGTAACCCCCTCTCCTGTAAGATGACAAGATTGCTCCCAGAACTGTTGTAACCAGTGGATCTGTCTCATCTTCCCCTTTCAGATATTCTGACAGGACTGATTGCAAGAGTCTGGGCAATGGTAAATAGGACTCCTGCACTGATTCTTGGTATTAGGGTAGGATTTTTGCCGTCTCCAATATTGACAGTAGGATGGATCAACTGGCAGAAGAGGACCCCATGGCATAGGATACCCCAGAACTCCAATCATCTGGGATTCTTGTCTCGTGTCACCTCTGTGTGAGGCAGCAGAGACTCCTGCGGGGCCTCAGAATCATCAGAAGAGAAAGCTGGATCTCTTATCTCCAGTGTAACCGACATTACCGATGGTCGTGCCTCAAGGTGGGATGGGAGAACAACTCTGCCTCATCAGAATTATCTTCCTCTGGAATAGAGGATGGTCCCAAAGGAAGGGGTGAATGTGGATAGGGAAGAGCAAAGACGTTCTCTGGGGAGATGTAAGTCTCTGATTGCCCATTGGTGGAGCCATTGGAACCAGAGTCTCCCTGGTTACTGTGGTGGTTGGCTCCCTCCAGGTCATGTTGCTACAGGTACTGCATCAGCTCTAGAAGTGGATGGGAGCACCAGGAACTCTTTATCCTGACCCTCCACCATCAGAGCAGACGTTGGAACTGTCGGATCTGTACCTTTGTGTACCTCCTTTTCCTATCAAAAATATTTATTCAGGCCTAAGTCCTTAGCACCTACGTGCACTGGCTCTCCTCACTTTGCTGGGGTCAGGAAGGGATCTTTTATCTTTGGGACAGTTTTAGATTAAGATCACTTATCCTTATGTCTGTGGGAGTGTCATTTGCTCTCCTCTGAGCCCTTCTCCTTAGGCTTACCAGTCTTAGCCTCTGTTCCTGAGCTCATGCTCAGAGGGGTGCTGCCCTCTTGGTAAGACTGTTGGGGGGGGGGGGGAATGGCCCCTGGCTTGGATCTGATTGGGGCTTCATTGCTTTCTTTGTGAAAAATGCTTTTTGAGTCTCAGGTCCAGGTCCTCACAAGTTCTGGGGGAAAAGAGCAGCAGACGTATGGCAGAAATGTGAGCCTCCCCCAGGCAGTAGAGGTAATGTTGATGTTTGTTGCTTGCTGAAAAGGAATGAGGGCAGGAAACACTCTCTTTGAGCTCCAGGACCCAGGGCATAACCCCAGACTTCTCGGAGGGAGAAGTCCGGGGGCGGGGGAAAGGGAAGAAAGTGGGGAAAAACACTATCTAACTATACTATGTATACTATACTATAAGAACTACTACAACTATTAAAACTAACTATATAAGATATCTTACAGCAATGAAACAGTAAAAAAGGAACTGAGGACACCAAAACTTGCAAATAAAGTCACACAGCGACAATGGCTGCAAAAAATTCTGGACTTGTGTGCATGCATATCCCATATGTGCAATACACATAGGGACCACCACTCAAAGAAGAAAAATTACTTATCACAAACACAGTGGAATCATATATCCATGGTTTCTGACATCAAGTGCGTCATATAATGAATATGTAAAGTAACAGTCCTTGGGTGAATAGCTTTGCTGAGAGGATTTCTTTGACATCAAAAGCAGTTTTACTGTTCTTTCGTGAATGGAAGATAGCAGGTGCTCAGGGCTAGATTACAGCCTGTGAACACAATACACTATATTGTTATTGCCTAGAAAATACATAATAGAATGCAGTAAGTGCAAAGCCTTATTCTGGGCTGTGATTGCCTAATAATCATTTGAAATTTAGAAAGCTGTCAGGAGGTGATTTATGCTGCACTGTGCATGTAACAGGGAGGACCACAGTTTCCAGCTTCTTGGTCCTGACCAAATCCATTCCAGCCATTTGCTGTTTGTCTTTCGGATATGATTGAAATATTGCTTTGATTTCTCTGTGGGGATCCTCCCCTTGTTCACATTTTAAAACAAACTGTACCCATTCTGTTAGTGTACAGCTGCACACAATGTGTGTGTGTGGAGGAGGTAGGGAGGGAGGGAAGAAGCAAGGGGATATTATGAATTTAGCTCTTCTTCTCCAGGAAGTTAAGTGATGCAAGGAGAAGAGAAATGACCAGAACATAAAACAGCAGCAAGAAAGTTGGAACACAAAATGACAGGGAAAGAATAGCTTTTCTGCAATAGCACCAACTGTGTTCTGATGAGTGAACTTTGAGGCCTAGAATGGATTTATCTGAATTGAAGGTTCTGCCTTAGCAAATTCACTGACATCATGCTAACATTTAGGAAGATAAAGGGGTTAGTAATAGGTGTTGGAAAACAATAGATGCATCCTGTGAAGGAAGTACAGTAGGAATAACAACTTATTAAAACATAGTTTGGAGCTAAGAGGGTGATACCATAGAAAAGCAGATTAAATGCTGGTCAATAACATTAACTTACATGGATTTGGGTGGTGTGGATCAGCTGGACAATGGTATCTGAGGTTCCAGTGAGCTTGTGGAGAAAAATTACGGTGTAGCATTTGTTGGTATACAGGATACTGCTGAGGTTCAATTCTGAGAAACTCTCTGGATATTAATGGCCCTGGAAGGTCCTGGGGGTTAAACACAGATGTAAGTGGTAACGGAGGTTCTAACTGCCTGATGCCCATGACATCCCAAAGCTGAGAATCATATCCAGTGTCTAC